CCTCCCTCCCTCCCTCCCTAGCTTGTCACAAGCTAAATGAAATTTTAGCAACTGTAAGCTACAGCAAGTCTGCAGTTATGAAAACAGGGCAAGAATAATCATATACCCAGTTATAGAAGAAGAAAAAAGACTTTGCAATGATTTTTTTTTTGAAATTAAAGCTCTAAGGAAATGTGTTTACGGCGACTTTAAAATAAAAAACCCAAAAGAATAATTTTATTAGGATTAAATAGAGTTATAAAACAGCCAGCTTTGTAAGAGTTTTTCAGATTGGAAGAAAAGCAATGGGTATGGTCCAGAATGTTAATTCGTAAATTGTTCTGCAGCATGTTAAAGAGTGGCACGGAAATATAATAATGGAAGGCAATTTTTGTTCATAATGAGATTTCTCCTGTAGGTAGTTCTATGGGTGGGTTTAGTATTGCAAGTTTATATTGCGTCTGTGAAGTAATAATTGTGTTCCAAATCTTTTAATACAGGACAAGTAGGAACTTTTTGCTGACTTACTTAGGCTCAAATATCAAACCCACTAGGAATTAAGCCTTTATTTTGAAATACTCAGTCATCATTAAATTGTAAATGGTAATAATCTTGTATAGAATAATATTAGCAATTCTGTCTCAGTACTTATGCTTCTGTTCTTATCTGCATTTGTATAAAGTTCGAATGCATTGATTTTCCTTGTTAATAGAGGAGCTAGCCACTCATCAAGAGATTAAGGGAATTGGGAGGGAATGACAAAATGACACCATACAAACAATCGGAGGCGGTTGGATATGGGATCCAGACTGCTGAAAATTCTCTCTGGATTAAAGAGAGATTTTGAGATTATACTCATGCACTCCAGACAGCTGATATTTTTTTTGTGAATTGACAGCAGGAACCAAAGCTTGAATACTTCTTGACTTTGTATTAAAGCTGCTTATTCAACCATCCAATTTATCTTCATAATAAAAAGTTCTGGTTTTTCTTTAAGAAAACCCAAGCCAATTCTTTAAAGGGGAATACTATTACTTTTATTAGTATGTTTGGAAGTTCAGCAACAGTATCTAGAAAAGCATAGCCCTAAAATACAGTTTTTTTTTTCTTGTGATTAATTTTCAGTATTTCTCAAGAACAAAAAGGTATTAAAAGGTTGAAATCAAATTCAAAAAATGGATCAGCATTGAAATGTCAACTATCTAGTTGTAGCAGCACTCCAGCATTCAAAACCGTGGTCTAATATTGATTTCCCTGGTTGCATAACATTTGCATTGTGACATTTGGCTTCAACATTAACAAAGTAGTTGTTCCTTGATCAATCATTTTTTGGTATTACATGCCAAACAATCACTCAGGGTGACCTATTTAAAATTGCATATTAACTGTTGGGCAAAAGTACTGTATTTTAAGCCTGGAGCAAGAATTGTAAAGAAGATGTAATTGGTAAACACATATAGAAAATTGTATATTTTTTAAATCAAGTATTACATGCAGGCAAATTAGCATCAACAGTGTGATCATATACATACATATATATATATATATGTATATATGTATATATGTATATATGTATATATGTATATATGTATATATGTATATATGTATATATGTATATATGTATATANAGGGTGGTGAGGGTCCGAATCTCCACGGGGAGATTCCAAGCCCGTATACTTCCTTTAAAACACTCACATAAACAGCAAGGCCTAATTTGGAGGAACTCTCAGAAAATCCGTCACAATTTTTAAGAGCGGATGTAAGAAAGAAAAATTAGTAGCTGAGCCTTTTAGAAAGAGAAATCCCGCAATGCCCCCCCAAGCAAGATCACTTGTCAGTACAGTAGGAATTCAGACTTCTTTGATGATGTTTGAATGGTTGCTTTCTTGTAAAATTTGTTCGTTTCTCTCTTCAAAACAGACATCTTCTAAAAATATCTAAGAATCAGTAATATGTCTTTCTTTTCTAAAGGTCAGTTTTTAATCTAATCTAAAGTCATGTTCTACAAATGTTCTCTCGTCTTCAATAGTGCAACGTATTTTATTTATATAGTATTTCTTCTAAATATTCAAGAGACAGGACATGGCTGGATTTTAGCTGTAATTTGGCTGACAAATAAGTCAAAAAGTTTGTTCATTCATAATGCTGAACCAGTATCCATGGCTAAAAAGCCATAATCACATGCTGTGCAAAGCTAAAATGAAAGAAACCGTGTCTTGATTTAATCCAATGTATTAACCCATGTATCTCCTCAATATTTTTCACAAACCTGTAACATGAATTACTACTATGAACTCCATACTATATGGTGGGTGAAGCTGAACAAATACTGGAGCTTCTCTAAGGTAAGATCTGAATTAGAAGGTTACTCTCTAGTAATTCATCTTTTTAATCCATGAATTCCCAGGTCTGGGCTCCCACTCAATCCCGGAGGTCACTGAATGGCTTTGAGTCACCTTGGGGAGCTGTTTTGTGGAGATAAAAATAAGGCGAGAATCCCAAATAAACCACCATGGACTCCTAGAGGAAAGTTACAACATAAATCCAATGAACAGAGCATATAAATAATAGAACACATGTCCACTCTTTGCATTCTCCTATAAACGTTAAAAAGAAGCAAGTTATAGCTTTACATAAGGCTTAGGGATAGGGTTAGAGGTGGGTTCCTACCAGTTCGCACCTATTCGGTAGAACCGGTTCATCAAATCTACCGAACCGGTTAGAAGAGGTTCCACCAGTGGACCCGGAAAGCAGGCCACACCTACAGAAGAGCTTCCAAAATTTTTTGAAACCCACCACTGGCTTAGGGATTGGGTGGACTGCAAAAGGCAAAATTATGACAATGGGA